AGAAATATTCGAAATTTTATGATGAAATGCAGACGATGTTCTTTGGTATTAACTGAACGGTGATTCACATATAAGTTAAGGTATAAAACTATGTTACTTCATATTTTACATGGCATTATATACAAGGTATAATGTAAAATACTAAACTTTATAGTTTTGCTGTATCAAATCAAGTGACGACTACTATTATCACTATTCATCCCCTAAAACGATCGATACTCCCGCAGCCCAGTTCTCAAATTCCACGAATTTGTACGGAACATCCTGTACATGCTCCAAATCTCACAGCAACCCGATAAGAAAAAGCAACCTACCAAAGAAAAAACGGTTTTAATAGGGCGCCCTTATCAAAGACAGAACAATGATCTCGTTTAAGAGCCACGGAGGCCACGGAAGTCATAAATTTCCATTTTATCGACACACAGCCGGGCCTTCTCTGTCCTTCGTGGAACTTGTACATATATCCGACCGTTTCATCATCGGTACATGTTTCGTGGCCGGTAAGAAAGTCGTAAGGGTTGATCATTCGCCGCGATAAAGCGTTCGCCGTCTTTCCACGCGCGATCGAAGCGACTGGCAATCAAGCTATCGGCGTGAATGTTCCTCCTTATCGAGGGATAAGCCTCTATATTTTATTTTCCACGAAGCCCAGAAAATAATCATCAGGAAATACACATGAGTCATTTATTGACCAAATCGGTTATCTTCATAAAATGGGAAGTAGAGAAAATCAATGATACGTTAGCACTTGCTGATCCTCAACACTTTCTTTTAAATGCAAAATCGAATAAATATAAACTTAACGTCAAATATGATAAAATTCTTGAATGTCTTCAGGCTTTAATGTTCAAACACTTGTGTGTTTTAATTGGAAAATATCGTTTTTTTTATTTTCGTTTTGTCGAGCTAATCGATTTTCTATATGAACCATTCATATGGCAGTTACATCAGTTTCTATTTTTAGTCTTCAAATTTAGCAGCTTCGTAGCGATTCATCAACGCGATTCATGCCAATCCGTCTTTCATCCAAGAACCCATCTCCCGAAAAAGAATCAGCCCTGTTTCTCTCTGTGGATACCAACCCTCCGATGTGCAAGAATACATCTATTTATTTGACCGACAGTGCTTCGATCACCTTCGTTCGTCCCGTGACTCACAAAGTTACAGTGTACTTTCCTATTGTCTCTCCGACGCACGAGGGTGGGACCCTCGCCCCCGTGGTTACACGAACCGGGGCCCTTCGACCGAATATGCGGCGAGGGGTGGCCATGTGCGCTCCGCTAGTGGTTGTCAACCTCGAGTCCAGACAGAAAAGACGCTGCGAGTTGCTAACATTCCAAACTGCCTGTGCCATCGGAAAAAACTTCGGAACAGTTGTCCCGAGAGATCGCACGAAGTACTGTCAAACCTTGACAAGTGGAATCGCAAGGGATGACTTAAGATGTTCGAGCTGTAGATGCTTTATCTTATCGAGTTTCGGTGATAAAGAAGGTTCAACAGATGAAAATCTGATTTCGTCTTATCAAATTTTCGAATGAAGGAGGTTCGATACACTTAGTTCGAACTCGACATAGAGGTTTCATACACCGATCGCAGTTCAATCGCATCACAATTGTTTCGAATTTGACTGGAGACTGTCAACAAAACCTCGAGCAATAGGAGAAACAAACATAAGGTAAACAATTTTAGCAGTGAACGACTCGTTCGATGCTCGCGCGGAAAATATTTCACGCGCTTCGATCGCGGACGGGTCGACGCGTGCACTCGACTTCTGCGAGGTGCTCGACGAATTAAGAGGAACCGAACGCTCAATCACCTCTGATTCTAAACAGAACGAACGTTTCCCGGAATAAATAGGCCGGGATTGAAAGAGCGTTTCTCCAAAGGGAGTAAAAATAACACTGGAGGGGCGTGGTTTAAAGAATCGAGAGCACATGCTTGACGCGAAAGAGCCGGCTAGAGGAATTAAAAGCTAAGTCCCTCTCGCAAAAGCCCATGAAAATTGAGATAAGAACGCAGCCATATGTTCCTCCCTCGCCGAGTTTCTCCGTCACTCTGCACTGTATCCCACTGGTAGATCATTTCTCTCTCTCTCCTTCCCACCCTCGCTTTGTGCATAATCGTGTGTGTGTGTGTGTGTGTGTGTGCGTATGTGTGTCTCTCTTTCTCTTCGCTCTGGAACACCACTCTCCCTCGCTCTTTTGCGCACAACAGCGTGATAGAGTGGGCCAAGCAGGGTAAACTTGCCACGTGTTCGTGACAGAGATTCTCATCAGTCTCTCTCTCTCTGAGTCATCCGCGTCGTGCAATTACTCTGTTAATGCGACCATAAATCGTTAGACTTTAATTGATAACGATCCTGTCGTCTATCAATACTGTTATGGATTTACGGCGAATTCAATGCAACATCGAGTACAATTTTTATTACTGAGGAAAGGGATGGGGCACTTTAATCTGCTGAAAGGTCTACGGTCCAGATTTTTATCTTGTTTGAAGTATCGCACTAACCGAAAATACATCGAAATCAGTAGAAAACCTATTAGTTCTGAATAGTGATGAATGAATTGTTACACGAGTAAAAATTGTGGGCTATTACTTGAAAAAATAGTAGAGACCTCGATGCCTCTAGCACACATCGCCTAGAGACGAAATAAATGAATCAAACGAACCAAATAAAACTAACCAAACCAAACATCTCAAAATAGGAAAAATTGCATTTTAGAGATGTTATAAATAAGCCAGTAATTCCAAAGGTAATTGCGTTTATGAATTAAAATGGACACCCTGTACATGGTTATATGTATATCGAGGTGGATCGAGAAACGGTATACAATTCGTCGTTTTTGCGGAGCGTCGTCGAGACCTCGACTCGACTCGACTGGATTCCGTGAGTCATAGCCCGTTTTCTCACGGAGCTACGAGAGAACGGAATAAACGGGAGGATCACGTGGTCCTTTATGCGGGGTCCTCGAGCGACCGGGACGAGCACGACCACCACCATCGCCGCTGTGTGCGCGCCAGGGGTATAAAATTTGATTCTTCGAGAAGCGGGATTGAGTTACCGAGTCACGAGGTACGCGACAGAACTCCCCGCAGCACGAAATCTCTAACGATCCTCGTCGGAAATCGTATTCCCCGGAGTCACGTTCAAAAAGCCCGCCATTATAACGGTCACATTTGAAAACTTTCACAGAGCTACGACTACACCGTGTTACTACGTTGATTTTGCAACTCCGCTTGTAACGGACGGTGTAATCAACGTTGCAACTTCGTGTTGGACTATTGTTTCCTGAAAGTACTTAACCCTTTGAACTCGAGAGGTGACTCTCACTCGTTGCTTCGTTTTATACAGTAAAACTATAAAATTTGATACTTAACCTTTCGAATGAAGATTTCTAGATTAACTTAAGAAAACTCAATATTCATTTCTCACGGATCAAAAGAAGAAAACTATTTTGCTATTATCAATTTATCTTCGAATAAAATTTCCATGAAAGTAGGACAGAAAATTTTGTTATATTACTTCCAAATTGTCAATAGTGGAATACTACACGAGCTCAGTAACGAAAGTAGATAATATACCAAGGGGTTAATATTAAACTTATAATGCATCAATTTGAGAAATATTCAAACAAAATAGCTTCGTCCCTGAATGTATGATTTCTCGTTTAATTTCACGAAATATCCTCTCTATCTCATCAGAAAATGTTACAATATTTCTAATGAAAAACTTCCGAGTGCAAAGGGTTAATATTTTAAGTGAAATTTTTCTGTCAAGCAGACATGTTTGAATTCAATCTGTTAACTCGTTGTTGATCGAATATGTGAAGATCCATATTTCTACACTGCTTAAGCACGCTTAAAGCAAAGGGGAAATTGTTCTTTAAATAAGGAATCGTTTAGCATATAAATAGGTTATGTCGTTAATCGCCATTTTAATCGGGGTATCTGAAAATACCGCTAGATCTGCCCCTCGCTGCGCGCTTGCATTTAAAATTCACTACAATTTCCGGTTAAGGTAACTGATCCCGGTTATAATTAAAGAGCCTCTGGTTTTTATAGACTTATCGATTTTAGATTTACGGGGACAAGTACTCGCACAATATCTGAGGTTAGAAGTTTCACGACCCGATCCGTTAAACGTGCCAGAATTTGATCGATACTAGATCTGGATTAAGGATTCATTTTCCGCTGATTGAGTGGGCGAAAGGAACTGTTCCACAATCTTCATGAATTTTAACACTAGAACTACCAGATAGATCAAAATGATCCATTCTTGACTCCTTCTGTTACAATTATTGAAAAAGTACAGATGCTTCTGTGAGAAATCGTTAAAAAAGTTGATCTAGCAATATTTACACTAGCACTACCGATCACTAAACTGACTTTTGCCAATTTCTGTATAAAAACCATAAGAGTGCGTTTATTAAGACTTCAATCAGGTTGTACTTCAGTTTTGCTATTACTGAAGTTTTGTTAATAATTTTTCGTAGAAATATCCATACCTTCTCAATAACTATGCCAGAAGAACTCGGAGATAAGTAATTTCGACCCACCTGGTAGTTCTAGTGTTAAACCCTAACACCTTGTGTTACGCTATCATGTCAAACATAAATATTATTCAATTCGTTTGAATGCAAATTACATATTATTCCTCTATTATCAAGGATTACACCTTAGGGCACACGTTCGCATAGGATAAGACTGGAATTTTCTCTTATTTCCAATAAATTATTAATAACAAAGTAATTTTATCGGTCACAGTTCAGAACGAAATCATAGGGCAATGGGTTAAGGCGGTAATTCGTAAGAGAAACGTTAACCGAATAGATCTAGTACTTCGTAATAAACTTATAGATGCACATCGAACCGCGCAATACAAAGTTAACAAAGTTAATATCTCGTTAAACGAAGTGTACCCGTTGCGAGGTTCTCTTCTCGCGCGAGATAAACGGAAAATAGAAGGAAAAAAAATGGCGGGGAAAAATGTTCCAGCTTACCGACGTGGTGTCGCCGTTCGCCTTTTCCCCGTCTAGTATCCTTTGCCTGAGGGCAAGCCTGTCGAGGCTCGTCAGCCTGTAACTACCGCCGACGTCACGATCTCTGTTCAATCGTTCAGTCGTGCCGCTGCCATTGGAACCGGCGTTGAAGCTGGACGTATATTTCGGCAACGTCGGCGGCGGCACTTGTCGCGGCTTATCACGGTTCAGCATCGAGTTGTTGCTGTACAGGAACGAGGAATTGTTCGCCACGGTCCTCGTCGTCGACGTCACGCCGATCGACGCCTTTATCCCGTTGCTCTGCGTGCCGGCGGAACCGTTTTGATTTTCGGTCGACATTTTCAACCGGTGTCACGTGACTATTCTCGAGGGCCAACACGGTTCTCTATCTCTTTCTCGTCCGCTCCCTCGCTCTCTCGCCCCCCTGTCCTTCACCGGCGCAGCCTTCTCTCTCTCTCCTTTCTATTGCGGGGCAAACTGACGGAGAACGATTAAACTGGCATTCTCTCGATATTCCCTTTTATTTCGGTTTAATCGAGCAGATTTATTGTCCATTCGGTTTACGATCACAGCAAAACACTACAACAATGGCGGCGAGCCTGGTCACGTGACGGATCACTCACTGGTCCATTCCGCAACGAACAGGGCTAACTTTTGCGAAAGTTGTTAACGGGCATTTAATTATTAACAAGAGAAGCTCCGCTCAGAATGCTCGTGCTCTCGCGCGAACCGGTTCTCAACGGACCGGGCATTGTTTATGCAAAATATGGAACGATAACAATCGTGATTCGAACAGTCACGTGGTTCTGTTGTGTTTTGCTGTAATCTAAAGTTGAACGGGCAGCATCGTCGAATCGGACGCTTCATGGAAACAAACCCTAGTAATCTATTCCCCTATTGGCTTTCGTTTCTATGGAAAATAGTAACAACTCCCGTGCTTCTAATAAACAAGTGAAAGATCCATCCGAGAAAGAATTACGGAAAGTCTGAAAGGGTTTTAAAACGGTACTATTACGGAGTACGTGTCTCAAGCACTTCTAGCACATAGCTGCAACCCAAATTCAAATCTCCCAGCTATATTTCTAGAAAACAAACGTCTCCAAGGGGAACAAACGCGTTCAGTCTACGCCGATATTCAATCCATACCAATGTTTAATGAAATTTTCAATATTCCAATTATAAATTTCAAAATTACCCTTAAGAATGAAAAAATAAAATTCCGATAAAAAACTTCATCGGTCCCATTAATGTCCAGCACAAAAGGAGAATCGTAGATTAGTAGAGTTCGGTGAAGGCGTATTTCCAATGGACGCATCGCGCAAAGGTAACCGCTTTTATTGGGCCGATTCCGTGGAAGCGGAATCGCGAGGGGCAACGTAAGAAAACGAACGGGCGTGTCTACCATAAAAGGTGTTCTTTCGCCGTAACGGACAGAAATATGTCACGCGATTGCCCGACCGACTCTCCGTGTTGGTTTCCGCGAGCCGGGGAACTGTTGCTCGAGTGGTTCACCGAATCGCGACAAAGACGTAGAAGCACAATGATCGATTCCCCGTGAAATATTATCGTACGCAACGCCGTCAGGGCTCGGAGCCGTCCGTGCCAGTCATTCACTCGCAACTTTGCGACAAGAGTAAACCGTCCCTTCCTTCCCCCGGCCGGAAAGAAAAAACGCTAGAGACAAGAGAAGAAAAAGAAAAGCAAACAGGTCCAACGGAGCCGAAACAATGGGCCGAGAGAGTGCAAGCTCGAGAGTCCTCGAAACGGTGTGTCTCGGCTGTGCGCGGCTGGAAAGCCACCGCGGCTTGCCCTTGGAAACGCCTTCGGCTAGGATCAACAGAAACCGTATCACGGTCATAGACTTCGGCGTATAATGTTACACGACGAGCGCGAACCCGCAAATTGAACTGAACGCAATGGATATACACGCACTCGCGCACACAGAGGTATTCGCGCGCGTGTTCGATACGGTCTTGTTCGAGGGGTTAATCGTTCGGAAGAAAACAACAGGCTACTCACTTGTACACGCTTCACGCGCCGGATCCGTCGGGCCCGAAGGAAAAATTCGCGTCGCGTGTGCCACGGGCACGCACGCACACACTCGCGTCGGCGGGACGCGAGAGGGGAGGGGTAGACGAAAAAGCGCAAAACAAGGGAAGAGAAAGAGAGAAGTCGTGCATCGGGTCGCGGGTGCGTGGGCTCATGAACGCCGGTGCTGCTGGTGATTCACGCTGTCGGCGAACCGGCCGAACGTGGCCACGTTCACTCTCACTTTTCTGTGCATTGTTTCATTGTCCGGTAGCGAGTTTCTACCAGTGCGAATTAAACCGAGCAACGGGCCTCGACTCGTTCGTATCACAGTTCGGAAAATCAAAGAAAACAACGAGGGGGACTGGTGGGGGCGGAGGGGAGGGGAGAAGAAGTTAAACGACCTTTAGCGAACCACGCACACTGTACACCGGCTAGCGCGCGCGCGGGCGCGCGTCACGTACGTGCGTATGTATATACACACAGATCTATCCTCTCTCTTTCTCACGCTTTTTCTCATACGCACGCACACACACACAGTTTCGCCCAACAAAGTTGAGACAGGCGACAGCGGACCGATAAATACGACGCGCCCGACTCGGATATACTGCGGTCTCTAACGAACGACCACGCCTGACGCAGCCACCGTCCTTGGTGGGGGTAAATCCACTACACCGGTGTCCGTGCTCCGTCGAATAAACCAACGAGGCTGCCTCTCTTCTCTGCGCATGTGTTCGCGGAGTAACGCGGACCAATCGCGGCGCGCCGCCACGAGCAGCCTGCCGGATCACGGAGCATATTGTTCTCGCTGCACAGCTTGGCCAGTTTCTCCACGACGAATCGTCTTCCTTCGAATCGCTTATCTACGCTCGAAACCGAGCACGCATCTGTCGTGCGAATGCAACCGAGGATTTTCCCTTTTTCTTTTGTTTTCAGGTTCTCGGCAAGCCAACCACTTTTCCGTCGAGTGACGCATCGCTGAACGACCACGGGACGCTTGCCACAATGATTCCACGAGAATCCTTGGCAGCCCCTTAATTTGTTAATACTGGTTACACGATACTATTTTTTATTTGAATTTTTCTGCTGGTGGTTAATGAAAGTATACTTTGGTGATAATACTTTTTGAATACTGATTGTCGAGATTTCAAATACACAGGTGAAATTTTAAGTAAAGATGATAAGTTGAGGATGACTACTATGAACTATGAGTAATAACGGAGAATAAGAAGTACCGTTCAGCATGATATAGGTCAAACAATGGAAATAGACGCCAGACGTTGCTCTCATTTACCGGCCGTTTTCGCGAACGCAGAGGAAAATATAAGTTCCCGCAACAGCCGTCGAGTCTGGTGGCGCTGTGCACTAGCCGGGGATTTTTTCTTGCTCGATCGTTAACAAGCGAGAATGTCACGCGCGAAGGGCGCGTTGCAATTAAAAACACCTTGCACTTTCAGTCGTGCAAAATTTCCTCACCCTTTGTTTCCAACTCCGCAGCACGTTGTTTGGAAAATCAATATTCCCAAGCGAAGGAAAATTGATTTTGTTGATCAGATGGTTGAACTAAAAATATGATAACTTCCTCCACCCCTTGCCGTACAATGACGAGTGAGACTCGCGATGAAGATTTTTAGATTAATTTAACAAACAATATTGTTCATTGTTCACGGGTCGAAGCAAAAAACTATTTTGCTATTATCAATGTAATATATTCCAATGAAATTTCTGCGTAAAGCAGAAAATTTTGCTGCTTTTCTTCCAAATGGCTGATAGCAAAGTGTTAAACGAGCTTAGCAGAGAAAGTGAATAACACGTCAAGGGGTTTACTTAACGATCGTACGTTTTAATTATTGATTTCCAGATCTGTTTGAAGTCGTTTCAAAGTCGGAGACATTTCTCATGAATAAATGAGAGCGCGTGGCAGGTTTGAAACGCTGACAATGTTTCGGTGCGACATTCCCGAACGAAATAGGAAGAAAAGGGAAATGGTTCACGAAGGGGAAGTACCGAGGCGGCAGAAATAGCACGCGAGCGAATGCAGGTGGCGTTCGCGAACACAACGATACACGTAGCTTAATAGTTCGATGCTCTTATTAGCTCGGAGTCCAATTAAGGCCAGAATGATACTCCATGCATTCTGCCGCGTACTTCCTAGTGTCGCGCTGGAATACCAAGCAAGGGAACGCCGACGACGACCGTTGACACCGTAAAAAATGAAGTTGCACAAGAAGATGCGGATCAGTCTCGTTAAGGCTATCCCGCGAAGGACACTCGAAAAGTACAATCGTCCTCCAAGATAACCAAACGTTCCCGAACAGTAATTATTTTTCTTTTCTTTTTTATCATTAAATTATTTCCAATGTTCTATTATTTTATCCGTCACTGTCCTAATATTCGTGACGTGAAAATGAATGAGAAACAAAATAGCTTCTGACAAATGTGGTATGAGAATCAGACGCGTCAGTGAATACTGCAAGACTGACGTGCAATATATTCTTGCCGCTAAGGTCATAAGCGCAGTGTGAATAGCGGCAGATTCTTCTCTTTCCAATGTTCTCATTTAATTCTTTGCACTCGAGAATATTCTTTTCGGAAAATATTCATTATTTTCTGATGAAATATCAACGATATTTTTTACAACTAACATAAATTAATTTAATATTGAGTTTTAAATTTTATAATTTTGTTCGGTCAAATCAAATGGCGACTGAAAGGCGCCCCTCGAGTGCAAAGGGTTAACACTAGAACTACGAGAGCTAGAGTAGACGAGTTGACTTTTCAAAATTTGTCTGTAGTAACGCTAAAAGTACATCTATCGAGACTTCGATCACTCATAACTTAGTTTGCGTATTACTAAACAATTTCTTTTGAAATTTCTTAAAAAAGCATCTATTATTTCGTCAATAATTGTGAAAGAATTTAGGAATGAGTCATTTTGACCCTTCTGGTAGTTCTAGTGTTAATGAGTTCACAATTACTCGTGTAGTTAGAGCTAATATCTTTTATTCCTTTTCTATAACTAAAATAAATAGTACAACTAAAGTAACCGAGAAATAAGTTCATATTCAGTTCTTAGCAGCCTGGTAGTATACTTTACGGTTCAATCATGGGACGATTTGCGTTCAGGCCAAAGGAAGTTTATCCCCACCAAAAGGAGTCACTGATGGATACTGAATCATTGTATAATTTATGATATCACTGGTCATTGGCGAATGTGGTTCAGTGGTACGTCCGCGATAACAGTCTGTGACCATACAGGAAGATATTCCAACGATATAGAAGTAACGAACGGCAGATTTTACGCATTCACAAGCAACCAAAGTGCGTAGAATATTAAAAACAGCAATTTAAGAACATTTAATCGAAACCTTAGCTATATTTCGATGTCTTAGTTCATGAGAGGCGTGTAAACAAAAAATAAAAGTAAAATGTATTCATCCAATAGCGACATAGTCACCTGTTTTCTCAAAATCGATAGAAAGAAGGATTATACGTATTATGATGTTAGCTGTGTAAGAATTTTCATTTTACGAGAATAATTTTAAGTTTAATCGTTGCCTGGAGAAAGATATCGTGTCTCATGTGAATACATTTTTTTGCTCTGGTTGTAGCTACCTGTTGAGAGGGACCGCGTTGTTGGCTATTGTATCTGGCGAGGACCGCCGGGTTCAAACGACGTCTCACTGCCGTCGGTGTTGACATTTTAACGATCCTACGGCACCGTTCCCGTTTGCTTTATTAATTCCGTTGGTCTCGCTGTCAGGATCCCATGCGATCATCGAAGCAAACACCGATTCCGCGGGTTCTTCTAGACGAATCTGCTGCGCGCGTTTCGAACTACCCAGTGTGTAGCACCGTGTACCGCGTTAACATTAGAACCACCAGACAGATCGAAACGATCAATCTCATCCGCAATCAGAAAACTCGAACTATAAAGTTCCGTTCACACAACGGTTACATTAACAATCTTTTCGCGAAACTGTGTTGAAATTCAATGCATAGTAACCGAGTACCGATACTTTGCTATCACGTTGATATGTGAAAGCTGATTATAACGATAAAACTTGTATAGAGAATTGTACAGATAATTGTACATTATTACGTAATTATATAAACAACACGGTTCTGTATACTTAAAAAATCTTAAATTTTTAATGTAATTAATTCAAAATTGTTAATCTTATGGTTGTTAAACATTGGAACGAAAGAAACTTTGTTCAATCTAAAATATATTTTCCTTCGTTACGTATAGACGATCTATATATTGTAATTATATTAAAAAAAAGTTTTGTCTGTGTTTTAGTTTCTGTAAGTAAAAGTGCACGACAACTGTATTATTTATGGGATGACCTAAGATATGATAAAATTTATTTCTAAAATTCTGTGAGACGAGTGAGAATTACAATTGTATGATAACGGTAGTTCTAGTGTTAAGATACGATAGAAAACACACACACGGATCACTGTTCACGTGTATCGTTCGAACGAATTCGTACACTTGCGGAATTTTCAACGAACACTCGCGAATCGACCCTGCTACGAAACAACGATCCACGGGACACTGTGCCTTCGCCGTCCTTTATCTCGCGAAAGATTACACTGCCGGCGCAATTATCGCTGTTATCACGCTCCCACTACAGGAACTATCCCTTAAATTAAAACTCACAACCGGCGCGCTTTAAACCTTAGTCAGTCGCCTTGATCATTCGTCGATCGGTGAATCACAGTTTAGAGGATCGGCTTCCAAGAATGCTATTAAATGTGTCAGCAGGAATCGCGGAAACTGCGGAGTGAACCTGTTAACCGAGGAAAACGAGTTAACTCGTCCAGCGTGTTTCTTTTTATTCAACATTGATTGTCAATTTTGCATTCATTTACTCGAAAAACGAATCAAATTCTCATTGTCATTTGCTTCTGCCATTATCATTATCATCAACTCTAGAACTACCGGGCAGACCAAATTATTACAGATCCAATTGTTGCTATTATTACATTTATTATCGTTTTATTTTACTTTATTTTTATTCGTAGTATTAAAAAGGAGTTTCTTTTGTCAATGAAAGAAATATTATATTTTTATTATTACAAGGGCAACTGTACAAATGGAAGTCAAATTTTAATCAAAAATCAAATTACGAACTATTAGAAATCTCAATGAATCCACTTTCTTATCGATTAAAGGTTAATCGATTTACTCGACGATTGTAGTGTTGAATTCCCAAAGAAGCGATTAGATTACGATACTCGATACTATTGCCATTGAAAGATAGATCAACAAGTCCTTAGCGATGATTCATAAATTTCTAAAAGACAATCGAATAACCGGCCCAGTTAACAGGTCGAAAGAATCTCTGGCTCCTCGCGTGGGAAACGCCCATTCGAAGGCTCGGGGCGAGTCTTCCAAACGTTCGAACTGACAGGGAAAGGTATCGAACCTGGAAATTCAAAAAATTACGAAACTTCGTCTGTACGTAGAGCAAGTCGAGCATAACACATAGCTACCTTTTATTCGTGCCAAATTTCAGTTTTAGCGGGTGAAACCATACCTTGAGAAAAAGTAAAGAATTTTCATCTTTATCTGAAGAATTTTTCTCAAGAACGACGAGAGTTGTTAAAAAAAGAATTAACCAAAAAATGCATCACTTTTCTAATCCACAAAGCTCTGAACAATTATCGAAAAATTCGAAGCTTTCGAAACTCAGAATAAGAGTTGGCAATACAAAAATATCTTCATTGGTAATTTCGAATAATACATTTCGATAAACTTAGTTTCTATACCTCACGATTCTTAATTCACCCAGACGATCTACATGAAATAGAATTGTTCATTTTCCTCAAGGGGTGGTTTCACACTCTCCAAAACAGAGATTCGGCACAAATGAGAAACAGCTATACGTTAGGCTAGACTTTCTCCACATACCCGCGAAGTTTAGTAACTCCTTGAATTTCCGAAATTTCAATACCTTCTCTTCCAAGAGGAAACGACGATCCTCGAAAAAAAAAGAAAAAAAAAAGAAAAGAATAATCGCGACTGGACAGCAAACGCGTTCGGCGCGACTTAGTCCGCCGCTCGGTCGAACTTAAATCGGCTCCGTTTCGAGTTTCGAGAGGCGGCCAGTGGCAAGGGAACAATGGCGAAATGATTTTGGCTCCCTCTCGACGGTCGATCGACGAGCGGCCGACGGAACGCGCCGCGATTTTAGTATTTCGATCACGGTGTCGCGCTAGCGCGCGTGTCGCTCGGCAATTGGAATGTGACTAGCCTTATCAGTGGGACTTACCGCTGCCGTGGCGACCGACGTGACGTTCCCGCAGTCATGATCATCATCATCATCATCATCATCGTCGTGGTCGTCGTCGTCGTAGTCGCAGTCGTCGGCGTGGAACCGATTATCGTCGTGCGTGCGGTTGTCCAACATCCGCGAGAGAACCGGAAACAGAACGATAGAGGATAGAGGAGAAGGATAGGGGATGGATGATAAGAGAACACACCAGAGGTGATAAGAGGGACGAAGGCAAAAGGGAGATCGAACGGGGGCAAGGATCGGAAGGATTGATTTTAATTAGTCCTGAGTCGTGGTGCGCTTTCTCTATCTTTCCGTGTCGTTTCCAGTGTTAACCCTTCGCAGTGCAAGGTGTCCTATCTTAATCATTCGGAAGCTTACATCGACGTTATTTAATGGAAGTTATAATTTAATGTAGTTCTTTAATATCGTCGAGAACACTTGGGAAGCACTGAACACAATTATAATTGAAATGTGATTATAATAATTTATTGGGTTCAATTACGATACTACAGGTAATTGCAGCAAGAATTAGTAGCGCCGCGAAGGGTTAACGCGTTGACATGGCCACCGATGGCCGATGCTTCTGAATTGCTTGGGAACAATTGTAATATGCAAGATGATCGGTGTTGAGTGAAAAGATAAGAATCGAGGTAGAAGTAATTAACTGCTGCTGTTTGTCTTTACTACGAAAGAATAAGTGTTATGTAAAATGCTTAAGATTCTCGTGGCACTTAACGCGTTAGCTGGCAAAGGGGGTAATCGTGTCACCCAGAAATGGTCGCGTTCTGGCATCGATATTAATTATTGATACCCCTTACCCGAGATTCTTGCGGCGGACGAGTAAATTTAGACGAGTCTTTAGACGTATGATTCGATCGATTACTAGGAGTAGAGTAATTCCGAGTAAGATGGCTCGATGTCATTTAAATCGTTGATTGTATTTCGTGGTAAACTGAATATTTTACAGATCTGGCTACTCGTCTTATGTGTATTTGCTTTCGAAAAAAGGTAAAGTACAGAGTGAAGTAAGTATAATGTAAATCTTATAGATCGAGATCATTAACACGGAGATAATACAATTTGAACCTCACAATGCAACCTTGACGCGTCTTGTAATAAAAAATATCGTTATGTCAGCAGATGACCGAGTGTTCCTTTGCTAACCAGGAAAGACGAGAATTCACTCGTAATTTCATACTCTGCTGTGTTCATAAATGATCGGTTACACAATGATGAGTTAGCACTGGATCTATCGAGCTGTTAAATTGATTTTTGCGAATGTTTGTGTGGAGACTATAGGACTAGATGTTGAATCAAAATACTTGGCAACGTAGATAACTGAATAATATTGTAACCTAATTCTAATATCAATTGATCATTGATAATCAATTGCTTAAGAGAATAAGTAACGTTACACAAAACCCTTAAAATTCTTGCGGCTGTCGACCTAACCAACTTCTTCAATGATCCCTTGAAGTCTGTACCTTTTTCGACAATTGCGAAATTAGAAGTCAGTAATGGATCATTTGGAACTATGTAGCGTGAACTCGCGTTCCCCGGTTAACGGGTTAATAAGTGAACACGTCCAACTCGTTCGCGAGCGAAATCGATAAACGTTCAGGAACCATTCCGTTAACCCGACGGATGTTATTCGATCTAGCTGAAAACGGGGTCATCGGTGCCGGCAATGAGTTGAGGTGATCCTTATCCGGCTAAGGTAAGTAACAGTCTCCCGTCGTTCCGATACAATGAATAGAAATCGAAAGAAAATGAGAAAAATCGAAACTATTCGGAACACCGAAGCGATCGGCGTGCACTAACGCCGGACGTATCGTTACTGTATATACACATATTGCTATCGTAACTGGTTGAATGATTGGCTATCAAATAAAGACAAACAAGCTGGACAACGAATGCTTCCCACCGAACACAGGAACGAAGGGAAACACGAACGCTGGTAGAGTGATTAGCTATTGACTTAGCAATTAATATGTTTGCATTCGTTCGAACTCCAGTATTACAATACTTTCGTGTCAATTGTTTATTTTCAAAGCAGAGATTCACACGATTCAACAGAAGGCACAGACGCTTCCTTCGGAAATGATTAAAGAAGCTGATTCGGTAATACCGAGATATAAACCAGTCGGAATCTTAATGAATACACACTTCGATTAGAGAAAGTCTGTTTAAGTAGTCCTAGCGTCAATTAACCCTTCGCGGTCGAGAACTTCTCAAACATTTCTGAGATTTCTCAAATTGACAATATTTTCCATAAAAATCCAAATAATGCGTTAATGTGTGAAATATTCGAAAGGAATCAGCTCCACGCACGAATCTCTCGTTATTCGAATAATTCAATTATTTATTTATGGATTTCGGTTTCAAGTGTCGAGGCACGAAGAATTACAGCGACGCTCGATCGTAAAGGGTTAAAATGTACCTTGGTTCGTAACGAAGCGCGACGACGAGCCGTTTAAAAAGCTCGACTGAAACGTTGCCACGGGGCGAACGATTTAATCGAAATACCGATAATGCACCGCGTTCCGTCCATCCATCCGTCCGTTCGTCCCGATTAGAGACAAACACCAATAAACTGTGTTTGCTCGATTCCGCGGAAACGACGGCCCGAGGCGGAACGTTAAGTCAGCTTGCAAGATCGCGCCGCGATTACTCTTGAATATCTCCTTAATTCTCCCCTGTGATGGTACTCTCTCGCGGGGCACTTAATGGCAATTAACCGATCGTCCGATAAACGATACTGCTCACAACACGTAACGAACGAACGATACTTTCAGACCAACCAACGTGTTCTTATTTTGCTTCTCAAAATGAGGCCTCTGTTATCCAAAC